CGTCGACGCGACTTGGCCGCACCTCTCGTAAGGTGGGCGGGGCCCAGACACCACGCGGTGGTGGCTCCGTCGTGGCCGCAAAGTCCTCATTTCAAAATCGGGTTCAACCAAAGCCGAGTTGAGTATTCTTCCCGTCACAGATTTGGTAAAAGACCTGAGCGCCCCGTCGTTGCAAACTGCACCAGGCAACGTCCTCCGCTTGAGGTGCGCTCAAGTAGCTTACCCACAACTGAGCGATACAAAGAGGGATGCGCGCTATTCGTGCCGAAAGGGCACCATGCACATTGAGAAATGCTCCGATACTACGAAACCAATACTAGACCGGGCTCAAGAGAAGTAGACGACAACTTGATCTGTCCTGTAACAGTTTCCGTTTCGAACTTGAGGCAGTCTCAGTCTCAGTGACCACATTTGAATGGCTCACGTCTGGCGCTTCAAACATACGTGGCAGCAACTTGTGCATTTGAGGGACCACTCGAGACACCAAATGACTGCTTTGATGAACCATGGGACAAAAGTCCTTCACTTCACGCTGCACGAGGAAACAATTGACATCAAGACTCAACTCTTTCCACCTCAGGTGCTCCAGTGATCGTTTTCGATTAGAAATGAAACCGAGGCACAAACTCGCAAGGCCGTGGCGCGACCGCATGTTTGCTAACTCTTGCTTACTTCAGGTAAGATTGTCTTTTGAGCCTGCGCGGAAATCATACCCTTTGATTCCGAACGCACCGCTTGGTGCTGCCGTGTCGGTTAGCAACAGAACGCAAGCGTCGACACACACACTTTCCCGAGCAGATGACACTGGAGCAGTCCCAGATGGAAACCGTAGAGGACTTGATGGAGTGATTGACGCATCGATCCGGCGCTTGCCGGGTTAATCAGAGTTTGCCGAAAGGCTCATACTTGTTATCTTGAATAACGTGGTTGGACTCACACCTTTTAAGTCATGTCGGAGGCTGCTTACTGAGGTGCTGTTTTGGTTTGCGACAAGGCCGCGGTGGGTTCAGCATTCGACTCCTTAACGTGCTTAATCTATGCAGGCGGTGAAGTCAAATGAAATGTAAAGGCGTACGCGGTAACCCCCCTGAAGACAAATTTGTTGTGCTGCCGCAAACCCAAAAGCATTCAAATCATATAAACATTATCGCGTGTAATACGTCTTGTCTCCGCGGAAGCAGATGAGTATCAAGACAAAACGCTTTGTCGCCGCGCTCACTTTCAAATATCATATCACCGTGATTTATTTGACTCTTATTTTAGCTCGGAAGGAAGAAAGTTAACTTTCGGGAGCAGGGCGCGAGAAAAACGCAACGGTTAAACGCAAAGTAAAGACGGCCGGGGGGAGGTACGATTTGACGGACGCTTTTGTCAGCCAATGAAAATGCTTGTCAAAAGATGGAGCTAAACAGATTTTTTTTCCATTTCGCAGGAATGGCGATAATTTGCGCGAGGGCGACCATTTAAGACAGCTTGTATTGCGGTTCACGTTGCTGTTTTGGTTAGCAACAAAAACCTCGGCGCGGCGGCACAAAGAACTGCTGATCCACCAGATGTCAGACTTAAATGGAACAACAAACGTCGCTTCAAGGCGCTCGCTGCTCCAATTGAAAAGCTCCACACGTGCTGCTGTTTTAGTTCGAAATCAAAAACAATCGCACGACAACGTGGGGCGACCACACAGAGTCGTGTAAATCTCTGCCACGTTGCTGAAGACGCTCTCAGCTTCATGTACTTCATCTGAGTGAGTGTTCACTCGTTGCAAGAGAGGCCGCCGTTTCGATTCGCAACATCTCCAAAACATCGTAGCGCGGCCACGCCGTCGCTCAACTGGAACGCCGAATGCCAGATCTTCTCTTTCGGCTCGATTTCGGAGGGGATCCGCGCGTCATTTGTACCTGATGTAGTCGTTCCGGCAGAGGATCATGCCGCTCTTGGTGTAGCACGACGTGCCGATCTCGCCCAGCTGCGCCTGGCAGCACGAGCACTTGAGGCAGCGACTGTGCCAGTAGCCGTCCATGGCGTACAGGAGGAAGCGGTCGGCGATTTTCCCGCCGCAGCCGGCGCAACGTTTCCACGGCAGCGAGCCGGCGGACATGGACGGCGGCGGCTGCTGCTGGCCGTTTCCTCCGGGGTTCACCATGGTTCCTAGAGGTGGGGCGGAAAAAACAAAACAAAACAGAATTGACATCCGGTCGTGCCTGTTGATACTTGGTTTGAGAGAAGGATGCCTCAGAATATAAAGATGGACGGACAGAACATCGTGGAGCAATAACATGGCAACGCTTAGTGGCACACTAACTGTCAATCAAGATGGCCACGATGCATATTTGCGAAAAACGCGCCGACTAGCAAGTTACATAAAGTAGTTCACCGGAACATAAGCATACACAACATTGTGGAGGGACCACATTGTGACAGTCCTCCAGCGGGAAAAGGAGAACCATTTGGGAGAAATAAAGCAGAATGGCCAAAATCGGGATTGACGGGGAGGAATAAATATGTGGCCTAGCTGCACGGATCATCAACGCGGACGCACGCAACAGTGTTGAGCGACCACACGTCAGGAGCCCAACACAAGAAAAACTGAAGACGATTGAAAATATTTTGTCGCAATGAAAGCAAAAAGTGCCAGGAAGCGAGTTTCACTACGCAGGGCGTCGCTCATCAAAACAAACAGACACAACAAACATTGTGCAGCAACCACTTGTTACGGGGGTCTACGCCACCCAAAAAATAAAAAGAGGGCATTCTTTGGGAGAAATGAAGTGCGCAAAAAGTTCAATTCAAGGCAATCTGTGTCGAACGAATCCATCTCTTCGTTCTGTGAAAGATAACATACCGACACACAACGTTGTGGAGCGACCACGTGTCTGCGACGACTCCAAGGAACATGAACATGCATGCACACAACCCTGCGCACTGACCACGTGTCTGGTAGAAAAACAAAATGGGACTTCGAAAAATATTTGGTCGAAATGACGCAAAGCAAGTGATGACAAAACGGGGTAACTCTCTGAAACATCACCAAAGACACCACAGAGCGCTTGAAGGCCAGCGTCTACGGGGAAAAAAGGAATATTTTGAAGAAATGAGGCAAAACATGAAGAACTCCCAACAGAATGGACGGGACAAATAAGAGGCGGCGGCGCTCCCTGGAACGTAAAAATGGCTGAAAACGATTGGCGAGAGACGACAAGTAAAAATGGACACATTTGGAGACGTAAATGAAACATCAAGAAGCGAGCCTGATTGGACGTGACATATATAAGCGCCCCTCACTTATTTGTCGCGTCCGGTCTGAGCATAAACGTGGATATGCACAACACTGTGGAACGACCATCAGAGCGCTATTCGGCACGAAAGATGCCATCGCCGCCAAGCGCATGATCAACGATGAACATGTCGGGTAGGTGCTGCTGTTTCTGTTATCCACGGACCACAAGCATGAGCGTGCGCAACATCGGCGTCTACGGGATGCTCATTGTCGCTGCGCACGGGGAACTTCGCCACACTTTTGATTCATTCAGCGGGCTACTTTTCAAGATGAAACTTTTTACTTTGTTTGCCGAGAGGAAACCGAAAGGCGCCTATTTGAGGGAGATCTTCAAAACGACAATTAAAATACACTTCCTTGCTGTATTGTTCCACAATGGTACGCGCCTGGGTTTACCATCCTTTGTTGGAACGTATTTTTTTGGGGGGGGGGGGGCTGTTGTTTTTTGGGGGATAAAGTGTGGCGTTTATTCAAGGGAGGCATTTGTCACTTCTGACCTTCTCGAACTTGACATCCTTCATCATTCTGCTTCCAAAGATGACGTCTTGAATACGTTTCTGCCAAGCGTTCTTGCGTCAAGCAGCCATTAAATGTCGTTTAAAAAAGTGTAATCCCCCTCGGATGGTGGCGAGGCAGCCAAATCTTTTTGCTACAGGCAGGTAGGCTAATTGTGTTCTGGGCAAGAGGAAGGGGGAGGAAGCGGAGAGCAGGAGGTCGGTGGCGGCGGTGGGGGAGTCCATTCACCAAGCCATTAGCGATGGCTTTTAGGGACAAAAGCAGGCAGCCTACCTTTCGAGCTGATTGCATCTGAGGAAGAGGAGGATGAAGGAGGCGACCTGAAAGTGACTCCCCCGGGTAAACAACGCGCAGCCATCGTCAAGTTTCACACAGGAGGAGGAGGAGAGGACAGTGGAGTGGAAAGGAGCTTTTTAACTTCACTCAGGTAAATTACATGGCCGGGTAATTTGAAGACGGCAAGAGATAAGATGGCGTAAAAGCATCAGAAGAAGTGTGTTTGTTTTGTTCGGTTTGAACGAAAAACGGCATGCTAACAAACGTCAGCTAGCATACGTTCAATTACAAAAAAGTCAAGTTCGCCCCCCCCCCACACACACACACAAAACCTCCCAAAAAGGTTGTCAACCACGTTTTTAAAACATGCACTAATTCAACAAAAACTAAAGAAAACTCACCTAGTTTCAAACGCGTTCAAGTGAAGTGAACAAGCAGGAGAAAAATTCAAAAAAGTCCGAGAAGTTGGGTTTTGTACCCCCCCCACCCCCCAAAAATAGTTTCTGAGTTATGGTATTTCCAGCGTTTTACTGCTTCGGCGTTCGGTTGCGGCGAGAACACGGGGAGTCCATGGCGAAAAGAAGATCGGAGGTCTGCCTGACCGCCGTAAGGTCCTCACGCCGAGCGGAGCGTGCCTTTGACGGGTTGGGAAGCGCGGAAGATGCTGCTGTCGTTTCTCCCCAGATGGGAGCTCCTGCGCTTCACGTTCTTCGTGTCTCTGACTAGGAAACGAGCGCCCGCAGAAATGACTTCTTGCTTGCGTGACGAAACAACGCTGCAGCCAATCGGGGCCAAGATAGGGGAAATGGAGGGTGGGGATTAGCGACAGCCAGCCAATCAGAATGAGTGACAACGGGGAAGGAGGGGCGGGGGGCGAAGAGCACAAAAACCTCGCAAATACTAAACTGTATCACTGTTATTTTCCATGTATATTTGACAAATGCCCATGTTAAATGATCGTCTTTTATTATCTTCTGTACGGGATGACATTGTCATTATTTACATTCTCAATGGAAACTTGCAGAAAGCAGACGTAACCTCGCGCCTGACTTTAATTACCTGACATTCCAGGAGGGCGTAGCGTGCCAAGTCCTGGCACGCATCGACGTGTGTTCTGATTATTTACGTGAAGTGGCGCCATCGTCTGGCACAGAGGGTAATTGCAGCGAGGCGCGAGGCTGTCGTTTGTGACCTCATCGAAGACCCCTGGGAAGTTGGCTTCAAGCTAAGAGGGCTGTTTTTAGAGAATAATAAGGCAAAAACCTCTTTTAATTGTTCATTTTAAGGGGGAAGATTGGTTCAGGGGGTGTTTGTAGGCAAGAAGAACACTGGTTCTGGGGTTGGTTAAAGACAAGAAGAACAGTTTAGGCGTTGTTGGTTTTAAGGAACAAGACTGGTCAGAGAGTTTGTTTTGGCAGGACAGGTGGCAAACTCTGGTCCTGGAGGGCCACTGTCCTTCATGTTTTAGATGTTTCCTTCCTCTATTCGAGTGATCAACTCATCAGCAAGCTCCACAGGAGCCTGATAACCATCCTGATCATTTGAATCCAGGAGTGGAGTTTGACACTTGCGCATGGTTGAAGGCCGCTCGTGGAAAAGCAGGCGCTCCATACAAAGACTGTGACAATTTGGTCTAACAACACAGAAGAGGCGCTGGTTCTCGCTGTGGTTGTTTTTTCTTATTCCTCAAAAGTTTTCTATCATCAAGTTGAATGTAATTGAGTAAAGTAGTTCCAGTAGGGGAAAAAAAAAAACATTTTTGGGAAGAAGAAAACTGTTTAAGAGTTGTTTTTTTTTTTTTAAGGACGTAGATGCTAAGTGATGCATGCGTTTGAGGGAGGAATAGAAGTGATTTAGCTTTTGGTTGTAGCCTGGTACAGATGCTGGTTTTAACAAAGAAGGCAATTTAGCTTTTAGGGAAAAAATGAATGCGGGGAAGTGTGTGTGTGTGTGTGTGTGTGTGTGTGTGTGTGTGTGTGTGTGTGTGTGGTGGGACAGCATTCCCACCGTCAGAAAACTGATCACCTCCTTTCTTTGCTGAGATCTTTGTGTCCCATGGCAGTTTGTTTTCCCCAAGCAGCCGCACGATGAAACAGATTAAAAGGCATCCGCAAACAGTATGGCGGGGCCGACCTCAGATGTTTGGATGCTCCCCACAGGGCTGATCTCACCCCAAGTGAAAAGGAAACCGCAGCGCTTCGTAATGAAGACGCTTGTCCTGCCAGGGGGAGGAAGGAAAAAAAAGAAAGAAAAATCAAAAGAATTCATGCCGATGGTTAGCTTCACACCAGAGTTGTGTTCTGTTCCGGCTTCAATCGGGGGCTGAGCAAACAACAATTTCAACGTCCTCCTTCTCCCTCGTTCATTTTCAATGCTGACGTCAACGAAGTGAGATTTATTCGTGATTGCCCCGATGAATGCGGAGCGCTCTTGTTTCCTTCAAGACATCCAGAAAACTTGGAAGAATTCAAGAAATCCACTCTTCCCTCTGCATGCGCTTTAGCTTAGCATCAAATACACGCAGCACTCAGATTGTTGAATGAGTCGTCTTCTCTGAAATAAACATTTGAAACCAAGTGACCTTTTTCCCGACAATCTGCCCCGACTCGAATTGAACTTCAAACCGATGTTCTTCCCTGAGGCGGGCCCACATCATGTGAGAACACAAATGAAGGGGACTGCCGCCAAAAAAGTGACTTGATTGATTCTTGCCGTATGATTCTTGCCCCCCCCCACTTCTGCAAACACAGATCTCCCTGACCCCACACCTCTTCCTCCCGCAGCGACGTGCCGTAATTATTCATTTAAAAAAAAAAAAAAAACAAGGCTGAAGACCACTCAGAGTAATTCCTCTCTGCTCTGTGTTATGAGAAGCTCATTAAAGGAAGCTGGGAACAAACAAAGCTTTTTTTTTTTTTTCCTCCCTGCGAGCCCTCCTCCTCTTTTCAGACTCCTCTCGTAATTTCCCTCTGTTTTAATCATTGAAATCAATTAATCAGCGCACACTGGAAAAGATATTCTGCACCATCTTTCCGCCGTGTTTTTGTTTCGGCTGATGAGATTGTCAAGACAGCTCCGGAGCAAAGTGGGCTCACGTCGCCCGCTTGCCAAAGGGGAAATCAGCTCGGCGCAGCGGCGTCTCCTCGGAGCTCCACGAATAATAAAACAATTAAAGTGGGAGGAAAAGATTGTCTTTATACATCTGATGTCTTTCCAATGAGGCCGCGGGCATCTCATAATGAACATGTTTTGTCATGGAAAACCCACTTGGCAAATTCAAAGTCCCGGGACAACTTTTCCTACAGGCGGGATTCACTTTTGAACTTTTTTTGGAGTTTTTTTTTTTTCCAATCAAGTAAAAACAACGCGTGAACTTGTCTTCGTCCCTAAAACCAGGCCAGAATTAACCAGTCGTAGTCTCAAACTACCAGGCTCGGACAAACGCCTGACTCAAGTCATCTTACCTTGAACCAACACCCGAACTGGACCAGAACCAAAGGCTAAACTCGCCGTCTTCTTTCCTTAAAAGCAATGCTTGAAACAGCCGTCATTCATTCATTCATTCATTTTCTGATCCGCTTTATTCTCACAAGGGTGCTGGAGCCTCTCCTTGCTGTCTTTGGGCAGAAGGTGGGGGACACCCTGAACCGGTCGCCAGCCAGTCGCAGGGCACACACATACGAGCAACCATCCGTGCTCACACTTGCACCTAGGGACAATTTTGAGTGTTCAATCAGCCTGCCATGCATGTTTTTAGAATGTGAGAGGAAACCGGAGTACCCGGAGAAAACCCACGCAGGCACGGGGAGAACATGCAAACTCCACACAGGGAGGCTGGAGCTGTAATCGAACCCGGTACCTCTGCACTGTAAGGTCTACGCACGAACCACTGGCCCACCGAGTCGCCCAACCAGCCGTCAATCTTCTCAAATAGAAGAATAAAAATAATAATAATATACAATCAAATAGAAGAGTGCTTGAAGCCTTGCTTTGAGGCACAAAGAGAATTGCTTCGGCTTCAGGCAAGTAACAAGACGAGTCCAGGTGTTGGTTTTCAGGACAAAGACCAAAAGTCCGATGCTGCTGGTGAAGTTGTCGGTTTTTAGGAAGCACTGATTTCGGTGAGACACTTTTCTTTGGCCACATACCAACACCGTCCCGCCATACCAAACGTGCTGCCCCAACATTGCTTTGACGCTCAACGTATAAGACAGAAAGACTCGAGGCACATTCCAAAGCCGCCATCCGCGCGCTAAAAAAAGTGCACGGCACGTCCCCCGTAACGAACGGAAAGCCACCAGTCCAACGGGCGACCCCCCTTTAAGCGCTTTAATCGGCGGATAATTAATTCCGCACACTATTCTCGACTCCCCGTTACGCGTCTGCGTAACAAACACACAAACAGCCGCTAACGACGCGCCCTTAATGAAACGTTGTGAATCCTTAACGAGTCCCGAAGCCTGGTGATGAATTTCATAATTATTCGGCCCCCGCGTGAGCGGCGCGGGAAAGCCATCAGTCAAGGCAAATGAGTTGGCATCCATTAAGGCTTTGCGATGTCTTGTCAGGACGTTGGCTTTATTAGCTCCTTACAAGCATTGCCGTAATTGAGTGCATATTTCATTTGTCTCCTAGTTCACTTTACCAAATGACTTTTTTAAAAATATTTACAACGGGCCCCAAGCTGCTCAAGAGTTTGAGCCAAACTCCAACTTTGCCGTTCAGTGAAAAAAAAAAACCACAACAGCATAATTGATTTTTAAAAAAAAAATATTCAACAGGGGACGGCCCTCGTCTTTAGCATGAGGAAACTTCATACGACATAGTTAGCATGCAGAAACGTGCGGTGTGGTTCGCGCGAAGAAACCTTGTATGATGTCATCAGCAGAAACAAAATTCATCGCGCGCGTGAAAAGGAAGCACGCGGCACGATGGCCGTAAAGAAAGGTCCGCTTTGGTTAGCGTGCGGAAACTTTGTATGACGTGGTTAGCATACGGCAAGAACGAAGCTAACGTCTTCGTCCTGTTCTGCTCGCGTCGCCGCTCAGTTTTTCCGTCACGCTCGACCGCCAATAAATAAATCATTCAAACGCCGGGCAGGTTCGACGGAGGAATAAGATCCGAAAGAGAGAGGGAGAGAAAATGTCAGCCTTCCTTATCATTGAGACTTGATTGCTGTGGGATTAGAATGCAATCAGCATGGCGTCACTATGGCGACCACTGCTTTTAACTCTTTATCATTGCCACACATCTTAATATAACTTGGAACACTTGGGATCACTTTAGATGGGAAATTGACCCCATAAAAAAAAAAGGAAGGAAGCAAAGAGGAAGGAAGTGGGATGGGGGCGGGGGGGGGCGGCAGAGGAACATTCTTGTTCTTTGTGTTGTATTTCAATTTAATTTGTCTTTCAGGCTGAGAAAATCAATTTATCGAGACGTGTGGGAAAGCGGTGGGGGAAGGCTAATCTTGTCAAAATGAATGCTTGACACATTATTTGGACATCTGTGTTAGTCTTCGCCCCCCCCCCCTTTCCCCCCCACGAGCGTTCTTTTGGTTTCTTCCATGTTGAAGGGGAGGCCCTTCTAAGTCTCACATTAATAAACAACCCAAGCTCCAGGTATTCATGCTATGAAGTGTTTTTTTTTTTTTTTTGCATATATGAATCCAATCTTTTCTTGTCATTTTAAATGTTAAAGAAAATGCCCCCCCCCCTCCCCATACTGCTTTTGTCTCTTAAAAATTTGGACTTGTTCCTTGTAACATTTACATAAAATGA